GGAACAGTCCTCTTATGGGTAAAACAAGATCTAGTGTTGGCAGAATGAGATTGATGATGAGCTGTTAGTTTGTTCTGATGTTAATAGTGGTGAGGGAATAGAGAGGGTGAGAAAATTGGGATGCTTCCTTCACAAAAAGAAATAAAAGATGGGATTCAAAAACAGAAACAGGAAAGCACCAGGTCACGGTGGGATCGCAATGGAGAACTGAGAAGGTTCAATTACAGTGAGAGTATGCAACTCTACAAATGAAGCACATGCATTTACCACTGGGTGAAAGGTTAACATATCCCCATCTATAAATCATGCAACAGAAATAGCTAGGAATCCTATAGAGTAATTAGCCTTCCAAACATTGTGGTGATGTTTAATTCTCACCATCTTCTGTCTAAGTCATTCGGGTGACCTGGTTACTTACTTAATCCACACATCAGTCCAGCAGCAGGGAACTGGCGGAGTTTAGCGGGGCTAGTACACAATAAATTATGGTCAATAAAAATGCAGGAACATAAAATTTAAACTTTATCCTGAATTCATCAATCCATTGGCTCGTTATTGCCGAAGTAAGCCGGAAGTCACTCTGGCTCAAAGAATGATTTGGCTCCAAGATTTAGGAAATTTCAATTTGTTCACTGACACCTCAACAGGAAGCAGATTAGATAAAAATGGAAGAGAGTTGAACAGTTGTTCTGGATCTTCAGCTGTGAGACAGGGCTTTTTCCTGACCTCCTGGCTCTGTAATACTTATTTCCATCCACACAGGATGGAGGATTTGTGAGTCACGCATGCTCTTCATCTGTGCAGATGATGAACGTCAGCTTGGCTCAGTTGGTTACACTCTTGCCTCTGCTTCAGAATGCTGTGGGTTCAAGCCTCATGGTCGGGACTTGAACTCACACTTAAAGTTGACCCTCCATCACATAGCTAGCAGAGGGGTAGATGCATGCAACAAGACTGCACTCTCCCCAGCCCCACACACACAGAGTGTTAGCTGGGTGAGCATTGGCAGAAGTGGGGCATTCAACTGAAGTCACATCTGCCTGTTCAGATGGACATTAAAGATCTCTTGTCACTCTATTCAAAAGGAGAAGGGAGTTCCCCTGGCTGCCCCAACAACCTCTATTAGTGTATTGGTAGCAGATGAAAATTGGATGCTAAACATAACAAAAATAGCAACAATACACATGAAGTGTATGGTGCCTTTTACGTCGGGAAGATTTCCCAAGTCCCTGGACATCAGAGATTTGGAGTTGAGTTAGAGCATGAGATCAGGAGGGGTGGAGGGCAAGGAGAATAGGGATAGGAGAGTGACAGAAAGTGCAGTCGAAGAGGAGGGTCTTGAGAAAAGCCTTGAAAGAGGCAAGGGAGGGGACGAGGCGGAGGGACTGTGTGATGGAGTTCCGAAGAATGGGGTTATGATACTTTGCAGCTCAAAATTATCAGTCAAAAAAGAATATATTTTTTGCGGAAAAGCAGGATTGGAGTCAATTCTTTCCATCATACCCACTCCTAAAACTCACATGAATATCTAAGAAATAAAAAAGAACATTGCAATGCTATCAGAGGAGCCCTTAGGTTTGGGAGAAAGTACTGAAGAGCAGCAGGAGCTTCTTTAAATGTACAACAGCAATAAAATTACATTTATAGAGTGCCCTTCATGTCGGGAGGATGTCCCAAAGCGCTGGACAGTAAGGGGTCAGGACCCGAGCATGGGGAATGGGTGGGGTAGGGCTGAGGGAAAGCAGAGAGATGGGAGGGCAACTGAAGGCACGATCGAAGAGGAGGGTCTTGAGGCGGGCCTTGAAAGAGGCAAGGGAGGAAGCGAGGCGAAGGGACTGTGGGATGGAGTTCCAGAGTGTGGGGGCAAAGAGGCTGAAAGCCCGGCCACCGATGGTAGGGCGGGTCGGGCGGTAGACGTGGAGCAGACCGGAGCCCGCTGAACGTAGGGAGTCAGCAGGTCAGAGAGGTAGGAGGGGCAAGTCCATGGATGGCCTTGAAAGTGAGGACGAGGATCTTGAATTAGTATATCTGAATGTATATCTGAGTAAAACACAGCACTTTGTGCAGACTGAAATGTGAAGTATTTGCTCCCAAACTGAGAAAATCCAGAACATGTTTTTATGAAGAGTTCTGGCCCTCCATACCATAAGGCTTTGCCTCCAGTATTACAGCACAAACTACGTGACCTCAGTCAGCTCTAAAGTAAAACACCACCTCTTGAATTATTGGCTAAGGTTGTCTAGACATGAAACTGACAGGCTGCCAATATTATGCAGAATGAAGGCGACTGAATACAGAGCTAGTATTTTCGTATGGCTGAACTTTTGGAGAAACTCTGCTTAAAGAGGAAGGTTTGGGGAATATATGGAACAAGCTTGATGGAGCAAGCTTCTGTTTTAGAAAAAGACTAACAAACTAAGGACATTAGATGCCTCTCAACATGGAGGCATAGAGAGAGGCCAAGCCAAACCATCTACACTGATCTGTAAACAAAGAAAAACAATTTTGGAAAAGAAAAGTAAAAAGAAAGAATATCTTGTCAAATTTCAAATCATGAAGTATGAAGGAGCATTTACAAAGTCTGAATAGAGTTAGGGGAAATTGGTGTAGGGTGAAGTTGTGCCCAATGTGCCCAATGAATGTGCACTCAACAAGGAATTTAGGAAATTGGCTAATGTCTAATATTTACCTCAAGAAATTCATTTAAATTTACAGTGGAATACAAGAGGATTAGTCTTGTAGCTGGAAGCTACAAAGACCAAATGGATCTCAGTCTTTTATGGGACAACAATAATAGACCATTGGTAATATCTATTTTAATGTATTATTACTTTTCAATTGTCACAGATGTTTTTTTTTTGCAGCAAAACCTGGAAATGCAAATAAAATTAATTTGTTCAGAAGTCCAAGGGGTTGATATATCTTGATAAAGCAATTGAACTCATAGTCAAGGCAATGTTGGGGCGGGCAATACATTGTCAGAAGTAGCATCCTTCAGATGAGACATTAAACCAAGGTCTTGTCTGTCTGTTCAAGTTAAGATCCCATGACATTATTTAAAACAAGAAGAAAGTTTCTCCGACTAAACTGGACAACAATCCTCCAGATAAAATTTGGCATTCACTTCATGGCTGTTTGTGAGATATTGCCATGCACAAACTAGCTGCTGTATTCGCCTACAAATAAAGTCACTACACTTTACAGTAAAATCCAGTGGAGTGTTTAGAGATATTTTGACAACATGATAAGTCTCTATATCAAATGTAAGGATATTATTGCAACTGGGGTGCCAAAGGGAAGCCAAGAGCCTTCTCATAACTTGATTTGTGTTCTAACCAGCCTAGCTTATCAAATGAAGATCATACTACATTCGAACTCTATTAAAAAAGGCCAGAAGTACAGGAGACAGCTACATGCCTCCATTCTCCATATCTTCAGAATAAGAAAGGAAATGCAAGCTTTTCTTAGAGTTTATATCCGTGAACCTCCCTTTGTATATACAAAGCTAAGTCAAGATAGGCATAATATTATTAACAAGGACTTGCAGTTCACTTTTTGGGTTCAGACCAAATGCTTCAATATTATGCTGCTGAACAACAACAACAACAACAACAAGATTCCATTTATAAAGCGCCTTTCACGTCAGGAGGACGTCCCAAGGCGCTGCACAGTTGGGTCATGACCCGAGCAGGGGGGAAATGGTCAGGGTGAGGGGAGGGAAGGGAGGGAGCGAGGAGGGGGGAAATGGTCAGGGTGAGGGGAGGGAAGGGAGGGAGCGAGGAGGGGGAAGAGAGTCGAGAGGGGAGCTGAAGGCACGGTCAAAGAGAAAGGTTTTGAGACCGGCCTTGAAGGAGGAAAGGGAGGAAGCAAGGCGAAGGCACTGGGGATGGAGTTCCAGAGCCTGGGGGCTGAGAGGCTGAGAACAATGCCAGAGATGTGTTGCATCAAGTTTCATAGAATCCTATAAAATCCTACTGCACAGAAGGAGGTCATTTGGCCCATTATGCCTGTGCCAACCCTTTGAAACAGCTAACAAGATGGAGAGAACCTGTGCTAACTGAACATGGTGAGGTGACTCAATCTTTGACTTGCCATAATTGAAGAAAGAATGCTTAAAGTCAACCGCAGCTTGCCAATTAAATGAAGACTTTTTGGATTGATACAGAATGCAGAAGTGCAGCCAGAGTAATTCTTGTGCTCCCGTCTTAAGTACAGGGGTCTAACTCCTCTTCTGGTAGTGGTCTTGTCATGATCTTGAAGCCTGAGATACTGATCAGTTCTCCTGAATGTTGCAGGCATTCCCCAAATGCAATCATCACAAGTTTGGATAAGTATATTCCAGGGGTGAAGAAATTCCACCTGAATCTAGCCTAAGACTTTTTCTTAGCATGTTTAGAGCATGCAAATATTGTAAAAAAAATCTTAAGTCAAGGCTTAACTTTGAAGCCAATTTTCTATAGTTCTTTAAAAGAGGAACCTACAGAAACCATGCTCAAACTTAAGATTAAATTTAGGAAATGTCCAAAATTTGTTTTGGTTTAAAATGCAAGGAAAAAGCTCAGAACCAGGTGGAATTTCTCCAGTCAGGAGCTAGGGAGGTTTCTCTCCACAACCTGTCAAACAGGGCTATAAATTTTAACTATCTTCAATGAAGGAGGTTGTTCCCCACTGAAAAGAAGCTTTGCATGACCTTTGCTGTATAAACATCCAGTGGGTTTGTTTATAATAGCAGCATTTTATATTTATTGGCAAGATAAGGTGGTAGGAAATCAAAAAAATAATTCACCTCCCAATGAAATATACAGTAAGAGAAGTGCATATGTCAGGAATAGATGGGGTAAAGCTTATGGTTAAAATTCCTTAGCTAAAGCCATCAAATGCCACAGACCTTACCCCATTATTGTGATTTGACTCTAATCACCCTGGTTTTCTGAAGTGCCATTGGAGGAATGTGCAGAAGAATTTCCCCCATTGCAATAATGTTTCTGGTTTCCTTTCAGGGCTCCTCAGCTTCTGCATTATGAACCCTACACCATGGTGGCAGTCAAGATGCTGAAAGAGGAAGCCTCGCCAGACATGCAGGCAGACTTCCAGAGAGAAGCAGCCCTAATGGCAGAGTTTGACCACCCAAACATTGTCAAATTGCTAGGTAATTACTGCTTTCTTAACACAAGCCTTGGGGATGACGTGAGTGACTAAAAAACAGAGATATACGGTACAGCATTATCAAAAGAAACTCACAGTTTATCTCTAATAATTGCCCAAAAACTAATGAACCTCAGAGATTTGGAATCTATGCCAGTGTGAATCTATGTGTTGCACTATACATTCCTCAAGTCATTCAGTGTATTTACACCAGATATTTTGAAAGCCGCTGCGGTTCCCAGTGTTTATGTGAAGTAGCATCTGTTTTTCTGTCTACTCTGCTGATTCAGGGAGCATGCAGGGGCTGGAGTCAGGGTTTGAACTGCTCTCATTTAAACAGAAATTCTTCCTGTTGCTCTTTGCTAATAATACCCAGAAAAGGTATCAGCAAAAGTAATGCCTCTTGCAATCAGAGTGGGCTCAGCCCTTGCTCTTGATGTGCCCTGTTCACCGCTAAATGAAAGAATGCAAAATAACATTCTGCCTACAATGCATCATTACTGTAGACTATCGTAATGTGGGTCTTCAGGTGGACAGAAATACATGCCTTGCCTACCAAACACTCGTCACTATCACTTAAATTTAATTTCAAGAGAAATCTATTGAGATTTCCTAGGAAAGAGAGGATCACGATTACCAGATTGGGAGCCATATTGCCATATGATATCAAAACCAGTGAGGTACGGAAAAGAGGATATTGACCTTTGCTCTTGTGGTCGGTACTCATTCCTTCAGAGCCAGGAATCAGGGAGGAATTTTCCAGGCACATGTTTTTTCCACAAATTGAACATGCTTTGGGGATGTTTCTCTCAGACATTGCTGTACGCAAACGGGCTGCTGCGTTTGTCTATAAAATACACAGTCACTACACTTTACTGTAGCTCCCGTGAAGCCCTTTGAGACATCCTACTGACATGAAAAGTACTAGATCAAATGCAAGGATTATAATTATCATTATTATCATTAATAATTTTCACCTCCACTTGGAGGGGAGCGAGGGTCCAGAACCGAGAGAGATGTGTAAGTGTTTATTGTGTGGCAGGTGGAGTGGGGGAATTCTCCAAACCCAATGGTTCAGTGTTTTTTTTTGCTCTTTCCTATCTGTAATAAAAAAAGGAATTTTGTTGAATTGAGTTTTGGAGAGATAAGCTAGATTGTGATGTGAGAGATAGAAAGCTGCACTAGGTGTTATTGTGTATCGATAAGTAGTTTTCTAACTCCGTTTCTTTGCAACATTAATTCTTGATCGCCTGACTTTTAGAATTTGGTCTTATTCAAGTGTGAGGTCCTACAATGACCAACTCATTGTCAGTGTGTTTACTACATTTTATTATTTGTCCTCACAAACAAGTCATTTGGAGCCTGGTGCTTTCATGTTTATTATTGTAACTAGTACCATCCTTTAGGGTGGTTTTAGTTACTCAATGTTTCATGCTTCATGTTCTGCACACCTTAAATCTTAAATCTTGCACAGTTAACCCTAACCCTAAGTCATCGGGGGTTTAAGTGAATGCTCTGAAGGATCGCCAAATGGGAAAACAGGGAGCCATAAAGTGGGAAATTTAAATTGCTTCTCGAAGATGCACAGAGCATCTCCAAATGACCTGACCTGATTATGACCTGACCTGATTTGTTTGTTGCTCCCTGTAAGTAAACCCCTGCTTTCCTCACCCTGGTGTTTCCCCAATGGCACATCTAACACAGGAAATTCACTGCATGGAGAATTGCAAGGCCAGGCAGGTTTCTACAAATACCAAAGGTAATATTAGAAATTGAAAGAATTGCTATGTGCTTTAGCAGTGAGATCTTTGATCATTGCACCCTGGCACAGCACCTAAAATGTGCTTGAGCTATTTGCGCTGGATGGTGCATTAGTTATACTATATCGGGATGTTCTAGTAAAAACTGTGTCACACAAGAGACCAAACCTGAGCTTTACAGGATGAACAGAGAAGAGCAACAAAACTGCCCACCTCCCCCCACCGCCCCATCACCATGTTAACTGTGAACTATGAAAAATGATTTGATAAGTTCAGACTCTTCAACCTTGAAAAGAGAAGTCTTAGAGGAGACTTTATGGCGTTATATAAGATGCTAAAAAGGGATTGAGATAGCAAAACCAGAACAATACTTCCAAATGCACCAGAGCAACAAGACAATTGGGCACAGGGTCAGAGTTGCAAAGAACAATTTCAGGACACACCCTAACCAGAGGGCAATCAATGACTGGAACTGGTTACTGGGAAGGGGGTTAAGGTCATTATGCCAATTGAAGAAATAGGCTTGGTGATATACTGGGAGTGAGCAAGAGAGGCAGGGAGCGAGGGAGGGAATACAATGGACTGGTTGCCTTCTTCATCCAAACTTCATGTCACCTTATGATTAAAAATCCTACTAATAATAATAATAATAATGCTTGCATTTGATATAGCGCTTTTCACGTCGGGAGGACGTCCCAAAGCGCTTCACAGAATAGACTGTAAAGTGAATTGACTGTATATTTGTGACTAGGTCACTGCCTTGATGAAAAAGTGTTTTGCAATTTTTTTTCAAATATTTATTTAATATAATGAACTAAATAAGTAAAGCACATATCATACATGGGGCATTTTTTGTGATAAAAATGACTCTGTCACTCTCTTCTTTCTCACTTCCTTTGTCCAGGAGCAGTGCGGTTTTTTCCCTCCTGGAAATGTCCCTCTGGCAGACAAGTGGGCAGAGCAATATCCCACAAACATTGAGTTATAATTAATTTTTTTTGAAGAGATTATTACCCCCAGAAATGTGATCCGCCAATCAACTAACAACTGAGTTCCTACTTACTGCTAGGTAAACAGGCGTGTGGAGTACGGAAACTTGTCTAAGGTTTCGCCCTGCCTGGGAATCGAACCCGGGTCCTCTTGCTTGCAAGTGCTCCAACAACTAAGCTACAGGACTAAAAAAATTACATGATCGGGGATGGAATGAAAGCTTCCGATTTGGCAGAGTATTGTCATGCCATGTTATCCTGGGTCAGATTATTGTAAATCCCCAAAGATAAACATAATTTTTAAACCTCCATCTCAACCACGCCCAGAATAGATCTTTTAAAAGTAAGGACAGTTTTGTGTTGCAGAATAGCCGTGACATTTCCAGGGACGAAATGTCTACTGGCAACTGCTAGGTGATGGATGTGTTATTACTATAACACACTTTGAGGCATCATGTTGCAGTATAATCTTTAAAGTACTAACAATAGTCCTTACATTTGATATGACACCTTTTATGTCAGGATTTAATGTGTATAGTAACTGTGTATTTTGTAGGTAGTCCAGCTGGATTATATTCTCAATCAGCCATACTTAAATGCAACAGTATTTCTTTTTTGTTTCATTTAAAAGCACTTCCCTCAATTTTTGGGGTGTTTAAAAAAAAACTCCGGTTGTCTGACACATGCGGAAACCCATCACTAGGCTTAAGAGTATCCAAACCAAACTGAGAATTCCATGCATCCCATCTAGTCATTTGGTCACTCAATCTATCACTGTTTCTGGGACACTTCTGTGTGCAATTGGCTGCCGAATTTCGCCCACAAAATATACAGTCAATTCACTTTACAGTGTGTTATGTGAAGCGCTTTGGGACGTCCTCCCGACGTGAAGAGCGCTATATCAAATGCAAGGATTATTATTATTATAATAGAAATGCAAGGATTATTATTTCTACATATGGTAATTCCAGAGACAGGTTGTTGTAATGGAATGTGCACAGTCTCCCTGGAGGGACACATCCTGCTTACCTAATTCTGGAGAATAATAGGCGCAGATTGGCAAGAGCCAAACCTTGGGGACCTCAGAATATGCAATGGAATACCCCTGGAGTCTAACCAGCTAAAAACGCCTTTCATATTGGGATAAGTCCCATCGAAACAGTGCACTATGAATTTACTGTTAACTTGGATATATATTCAGGGCCTTGGAACTTACAATCCAAGCTGACAGTCCTCCATTCAGAATGCATTCTTAGCTCTATATTGCTTGATACAGCACACATCTAGGGCACACAACCTTCCCTTTTTAATGGCTACATCACTAAACCTTGATCTCCTCCATGCCCTTCATTCAATAGGGCAATGATATGGTTTACTTCAAATCCTCTAAAATATAGTTGTTACAGGTATTGCACTTTTTTAACCTATAATATTCTAATTTTAATTCTTCTATTGACATTCTCAGCCTCCTCTGATCATAAAATATTAATATCTCCTCCATTATCAAAAGTCTTTCAAAGCAAGTTCAGTTTCCTCTTTGTACAATGCACTTATTTTCCCCTCACCGGCTGTTAATTCAATAGAAAGCCCAACTTTCTATATTTAAGGAGAAATTGCTAGCATCTCCCTTGCACTCCTGGATGGAAATCAAGTAAAGGCTCATTGTCTGATAAGCAATCCTATCCTCAGCTTCCACCTCTATCCTCTGTCTCTCCTTCACATCAATTCACAAAATTTGTCATTCACCTGATGACTGTTAGTCGGGCATTGCTGTGTGTAAATTGGCTGACACATGCACCCAAAAAATAGTCACTGCACTTTACAGTCTATCTATCCTGTGAAGTGCTTTGGGACGTCCTCCTGAAGCGAAAGGTGCTATACCAAATGTAAGGGTTATTATTATTTTTTAATTCCTCTTGTCTGTTTTGTCAATGTTACTGTGGCAATTTTCCTCTGAAACTTTAATTTCTTTGCCCTCTAAGCACCAAATGCATTACTACAATTGTTGCTGCCTGTGTGGTCACTGTGTTGTAACCAAAGCCCACCATAGCCCTGTCCAGTACCCATCTCTTTCTTTCCCAGAAACCAGGGACTAGAATTTCTTACCTCCCTGAGTTTTCCCTCTCCCCACAGACTATAGCCTTTAAACATTCAAGGTTTGGGTCATCTAATCACTCCTTATCTTGTTTTCCTTACTTATCTTTTTGACCTTGATCCAAGCCTCCAGTTGAAAATTGAGAAGCTCCAGACACACTCTCAATTTTTTTAAAAACAAATTCCAAGTAGAGCATGACATTGTTTTACATTCTGTCAGACAGAGGTAATTGATACCTGGTTAAATCTCAGGTATCAGAAAGGAATTAAAATGCATATAACTCTGTCCACACTAATTTTTATGTAGAGCCAAATCAAACTCCTTCGAATTTGCAGTTTCAAGATTCAATTAGCATTTTCAAAGGAATTTTCACAGACTCATAAAATTTTACAGTGCAGAAGATCATTTCATCCATCAAGTTTGTGTTGGCTTTCAGAACAAGGGTAATTCACTCCCACTGCCCTGACCTATTTCCACACCCCCTTTCCCTGTACTCTACTTTTGTATCCCATTTTACTGTTTTATACTGTTAATTCTGATATAAATCTGATGTATGGAGCTCTGGTTTGGATACTGTTAAGCATGGTGGTGGGTTTCTGCATGTGTTAGACACCCGTCTGACCAAAATAAAAAGGCTGATAGAATTTGTGGCATTTTTTGCACCACAAAAAAAACTTGACTAGGGCAACATATTTTGATTTATCAGTTGATTTTGTTTCTGAGATACCCTGAGCTAATCTGTATTTATCCTCATTGCATGTCTCCCATTATGTCACTTTCTAATACTTTACAGCTGAAAAACACTTGCCTATAAATAGAAACTTTCCTAGAATAAACGGTACACAACAGATCAAAGTACAATGTGGTAAATGCCAACAGGGTGTAATTCAATTTGTTTTATAAGACTTTGGTTCAAATGTTTTCAATTAGTGTTCTCACTATATTCTATTTTTTTTTGTGTTGGGATATGTAAGGGGTGACAATATGAGAGGCCTGAACTTCCACTTAGTCTTAGGCTGTATGACTATTTTGTCTTAAAATGTAGGACCACACAGAATTGTGGAAATTCCCAAATTCGGAGTCTTACTTTCGATGTTGTTTTCTCATAGTTGTTAACAATAATGCTTCCATTTGGTTATTGGGACTTGGAACTCATAGAGTCTAAGTTGACACTCCAATGCAGTGCTGGGTGGTGTGCTGCATTGCTGGAGGCTCTGTCCTTCTTTTATAAAAAATCTAGTCAGAATTCCCATTGGGATTCTGCCCATTGGGAATTCTGCTCTGGAAGTGGATTGCATCAAGTAGTATTTTCTCCAGTTCTCGTGACCTAGTTCGAGTAACTGGAAGGAATCTTAATTGGCATGATTTACATTCTTTAATAATACCTCACACTTGACTCCAATACCATTAATAAGACTGCGCGTGGTGGGCAGATATAAGGGATGGAGAAAGTAGGACTGCTTAGCTAATAAGGGGAAAATAGTTAAACCACATTTTGAGATATCTGTAGACTAGATATGTCATGCATAATCCTTGCATTTGATATAAAAGATGCATAGAAGATCTGAGAAACAAAACAAACATAATAATAATAGTCCTTGCATTTGATATATCGCCACATCACATCTTCAAGATGTCTCAAAGCGCTTCACTGAATATACTGTAAAGTGAATTGACTGTATTTATTATATAATTATGTGAGCTTAGTGGACAGATTTAAGGCAAAGGGCATATAGTATCCCAGTGTTTGAATTGCTTCCAGTATTATTAAAAACCACAGAAAGAATGCGCAAGATAATTGGCTTCAATTAGTTGTTAGTTACATGGCAAAACAAAATTGCAAATAATTTGCAAATTTGCAAATAACAGGTTGTCAAATCGGCAGGTAAATAGATTCTATACAGGAAAAATGGGCTGCGCATTGCTGAATGTGGAGCTAAGCTGCTGGTACACATGATATACACAACAACAGTGATTCACTTAAACAGACTTTTGTTTGGTCAGCCGGGTGTCTGATACATGCGGGAACTCAACACCATGCTGAAGATTATCTAAACTAGACTGAGTTCCATACATGCCAAATATACATGGAAATTCCCATGACTGAAATGGAATGTGCACTCATTCTCTAGAGTCGCAACCTGCTTATCTAATTTCAGAGAGTATTAGGCACAGGTTGGCAAGAGCCAAGGCTTGGGGACCCCAGAGTATGCAATGGACCTGTCCGCTCCTTCACCCCCCCACCCCACCATCTGCGGTTGGGCCTTCAGCCTTTCTGCCCCACCCTATGGAACTCCATCCAACAATCCCTTTGCCTTGCTCCCTCCTTTGACTCCTTTAATTCCCATCTCGAGTCCCTCCTTTTCGACCGTGCCTTCATCACCCTCCTACCCCAACCCTCCCTGCCCTCCACCCCTCCTGATTCCAACACCCAGCTTAGTTCCAAATCCCTGACTCTCCAGTGCCTTGAGACGTCCTCCTGACGTGAAAGACACTATACAAATATAATTTGTTGTTTTTGCGTAATTTTCTATATCAAGAACAACACCAACAAAATTATATTTGTATAGCGCCTTTCACATTGGGAGGACGACCCAAGGCGCTAGACAGTCAGTGTTTCGGACCCGAGCTGGGGGTCGGGATCGGGGAGTGTGGAGGGCAGGGGGGGGAAGCAGGGTGATCAAAAGCACGGTCGAAGAGGAGGATCTTGAGATGGGTCTTGAAGGAGGCAAGGGAGAGGCCGAGGCTGAGGGACTGCGGGATGGAGTTCCTGAGGGTGGGGGCAGAGTGGCTGAAGGCCCGCCCACCAATGGTGGGGTGGGTGAGGCGACGGACGTAAAGCAGGCCGGAGCCCGCTGAGCAGAGGGAGCGGGCAGAATAGTAGGGAGTTAGGAGGTTCCAGAGGTGGGGGGAGTGAGGCCATGGAAGGCTTTGAAGGTGAGGACCAGGATCTTGATCTGTATCCTCTGGGTGATGGGAAGCCAGTGGAGTCAGGGGAGGAAGTTGTAGCGGACATGGGGGAAGGCAGAGCTGGCTATGGCATGGATGTGGGGTAGAAAGGATAGTCGAGGTTCAAACAAGACCCCAAGGTTCCAGACAGGCTTAGTGAGGTGGAGTGTGCATCCTTGGATGGTGATGCTGTCAGTTCCTGAGGTGTGGAGGCGCTGACTGAAGAAGAACATTCTCCCTCCAGATGTACATTCCTTGTTAATCAAATATTTCAGAAGAAAATGGAAAAAGTCAGTTGTCTTTTAATTTACACAGCAGAGTGTATATCATGTTGCAATCTTGATGTCTGTTTCCCTTTCCCTACAGGAGTGTGTGCTGTTGGGAAACCCATGTGCTTGCTGTTTGAGTACATGGCTTTTGGAGACCTGAACGAGTATTTACGCAGACGATCCTCTATGAACATCCGCACTTTGAGCCAGATTAGTCTTGCAGGACGGAGCACTGGGTCAGACACTGACTTGTTACCCCTAAGTTGCACTGACCAGCTTAATGTTGCCAAGCAGATTGCAGCTGGCATGGCCTATCTGTCTGAACGGAAGTTTGTTCATCGTGACCTGGCTACAAGGAACTGTTTGGTCGGGGAGAATCTGGTGGTTAAAATCGCTGACTTTGGACTTTCAAGGAATATCTACTCTGCAGACTATTATAAAGCAAACGAGAATGATGCTATTCCAATTCGATGGATGCCACCAGAGTCTATTTTCTTCAATCGTTATACTACGGAATCAGACGTGTGGGCTTATGGGGTGATCCTGTGGGAGATCTTCTCCTACGGCATGCAGCCTTACTATGGAATGGCTCATGAAGAGGTAATTTACTACGTCCGAGATGGAAACATTCTCACGTGCCCTGAAGTCTGTCCACTGGAGCTTTACAACCTGATGCGTCTTTGCTGGAGTAAGATGCCATCTGACCGGCCAAGCTTTGCAAGCATCCATCGCATTTTGGAGCGCATCCACGAGCGTATCACAGCTACGTATCAAGTGTGATGCATCTCCTGCGCTGTCATAACTCCACATGATGAGACATCTGCCTGCCTGTCCCCCTGCAATCATGATAATGGTGGCTGGGGCACTGCCGTGTACAGGTCTGAAATGTTGGACCGGCAGCCTTCGACACACTTGACATGGCCCAGGGAGGCTGAGACTCTGAGGACAAGCAGTTCAGAATGATGGAAACCAATAGTTATATCCACTTTAAGGTCTATATTTCAACCAAGGCTGACCTAGGATACTCATACAAGATGAGACATTGTTCTGAAGGAAAACCATATCCATTGTTTATAACCCTGGTTAGGGAATATGGTAGACATTTATTTTTTAAATGTGTATATAGTGATGTATTATTACTAAAATAATATTTTTTATCACTTACCTGTTTTTTTAAAAAAACATGCTTCATCAACATTGAGAAATAAGAGTGAAATATCTTAACGACTGTAGAGGTGTCTTTCAGCTAGAGGTCTGTAGAAAACAGTGAGCCGTTTGGACAGAGAACAGATGGGCAGGACCTATCCAAATGCAATAGTGGAGACTCAATGATATGGACTTTGTCAGATGTTTTACTTTGCTGGATTGAAACTGCTGGATATAAATTAAACAGAGATATTGCAAAAAATATTGCACAAGTATTGCCGACAGAATAGATTCCCTAAAGTCAGATTAACAAATCTCCACTGTATGTATAGCAAGTTCACAGAAAACAATGGTTTGATTTCCATAAATCAGTAAAATCCCACAGACTGTCATCATCACATTATTGATTCCCTCTTTCAGAAGGCTGCTGAAGTTAATCGTGTGGGTATTTTTTTGCCAAATAATTTAAATGGATTGTGATTGAATGGAAATACTTTAGGAGAGGCAGAATTTGAGTCTGAAGCAATGCTGGAATTTTACTTTGCGTTCTTTTGAGTGGTCAACAGCAGTAGAAGCAGGCCCTAAGATCTGCTAATGATTTTCAGATTCCATTCAGACTGAGTCATATGTCACGCAAGCCATTCGCACACCACCAGAAGACTGGGCTCCTTTACAAAGAGTGGTATTGGAGACCGGATCCAACATAATGTACATACATAGAACACATGCTTTAATCTTCACCTTCTATAAAAACTCCACTGTGCTCGAGTCAAACGGGAAAAAGTTCTTTTAGAAACTACTTTTGGAAATAGCTGGTGAGTGGTCTTTTGAACAATAAAGTGTTGTCAATACAAAGACTGTCTTATACTTCCAGTGAGACAGAGAAAGTCTGTTATTCTTCAGCCTGTTGAAAGGTTTGCATTGATTGCAGCATTCTTTATGTTATAGTTGTGCAGTACAATTAACATGAAAGTACTTTTTCACACCAAAATGCCAAAGACATACTGGCAATTGTAAATCAGCACAGCTGGATACAGGTTGCAATGTTCTCAAGAGATAATGTGGCTCTAGTCAGCTAGGTTTTCTCTTGGAAAAGTCTAAACCCAGGACTTGTCAGCGACTGAACATTGAACAACGCCCCATTAATTAAATTGGCAACTAATTAGTTGTTAGGCATCTTAGGGTTGAAATTCCGTGAGCCAAATATTGGAAAAGTTTAATGTTCATTTGCACTCAATTATACTGGGGGAAGTGTATCTCTTCCGGTAAATGGGAAGCGGTACAGTCAATCATGGTTTGGCATGTAAGGGGCCCTCTGACTGCTTAGTTAGTGAGATTAACAAGCTCTGTCACCTAGCAACCAGGCAATAGGGAGAAACTACCGAAGGCTGGAGCACAGTGGTTCAAGCCAGTAACTAGTAAATTACTTGCTCTGTTGTCTCCTTTACCCTGTGTATTTAATCACAAGAACATACCAGCTTGTCAGTCTCCTGTGCAATAACGCTGAATAGTATAAGGTGGTTTGAAAAAGTTACACACAGGTCATGAGGTCCAAAATATTTCATTACACATTGGACCACAGCACATGATCCTCCATTGAAGGTATAGCATTACACCAAATGTCATTAGTAAAAAGTACAGAATTTTTCCATTATTAGATGTATAGAATTTGCATGCATAAATATCATGTAATATATAATAAAATCTCTTCCACCTTATTAGAAGTGCATTGAACATGAATATTTTTTATAATGATAAGAATACCTTGTTGGCTGAATAAAAATGTAGAGTAAATAACTCATTACTACCATTGTACTCCTCATGTATATATACAATACAAATTTACATTTATATAGAGCCTTTCACGTCATGAGGATGTTCCACGGCACTTAACAATCCTGGCTTGGTACCCAAGAGCCAACAGAGGATGAAGGGGAAAGATTACCCAAATATTATTACCAAAGAGTAGATCTTACACAAATTTATTCGTGCTGCAAAAAATTACCACAAACATTTCATAAAAGGAAATAATGCTTGTCTTATGACAATCATTTCAGTGTCACCATTAGTCACACAGAAATGACCAGGAAATCGGCAGCAGTGTTTCGAAGATAACATTCATTTGTTTTCATGAACACCTGAAGAGCAATCTTTTAGGTGCTGCAACCTTCCCACCAGAGTCATAAAGCAATGTCCAAGTAATCCACCAATTGCCTAACAACCGGTACCTACTTACTGCTAGGTAAACAGAGGCATCTGTGTGGAGTAAGGAAACTTACCTTAGGTTTTGCTCGGCCTAGGAATCGAACCCGGGTCTTCTTGCTTGCGAGGCAGGTGCTCTAACCACTAAGTTACAGGACTCCTGTTGCGTTCGCCAGCAAAATACACACTTCCCTTTGTATTGTATGAAACATCTTCGGAATGTGAAGGGTAACAATTATTATTTTTATTATGATTATTATACATCCACTAGCCTGTCATGGTCAATGATTATCAGAGGGTTTTTTTTAAACTTGGAAGCCTTTCAAATGATATATAATCCAGGGTCACAAGGAAGGAGGGGGTGAGGTCAATCCTCAGCATCCATACACATTAGTTTTTTTCTTCTAAGTACCAGATTTACAACAAGATCAACAACAAGTTGCACTTATATAGTGCCCTCCACACAAGGCAGCTTCTCAGAGCGCTTAACAGTGGCTGAGCCTGACGCTGAGCCAGGGGACGGGGGAGGTGACTGTAAGCACGGCCGAACAGGAAACTTTTCAGACGGATTTGAAAGAGGGCAGAGAGAGGACAAGATGGAAGGATTGAGGGAGAGTGTTCCAGAGTTCCGGGGCGTAGTGGCTGAAAGCGCAACCTTCGATGGTGGGGCGGAGGATGTGAGGAACAAGCAGGAGGCCAGTGCCAGTTGAGTAGAGGCACCGGGTGGTGGACTGGGGAGTGAGGAGGTCGGAGAGGTCGAGAGATGAAGAGAGTGAAGGGATTTGAACAGATTTGTTTGATAAATCAGATAAACAACTTTCAAGTAGCAGTGTTTGTGAAAAAGAAACTTTGTGAAACCAGGACTGCATCCATCACTGGCAATTTTATACTTGAAAAATTGCAGCGAAGAGCACTGATGCAGATGTCGCCAATAAATTTAGAGAAAAGAGCGGTGTCTTTCGGTGTCCTGGCCAACAATCCCCCTGATAAAATTGATCATTCACTCCATGGATGTTTGTGGTATACAAAATTCCATTTTGTGCAGATGGAATTGGCCTCGCCTATCCCTAAATACCGTACATCTTATTCTACCACTGAACATCGTAATCAAATTCCACTGCTGTTTTTTTTTGCCCACAAAATACAGTCAATTCACTTGACAGTATATTCTGTGAAGCGTTTTGAGACATGATAAGGAGCTATAAAAAAAAGCAAGGATATTATATATATTTTATTAATTTAGTGTTTCCAATTAATTTTCTCCCCATTGAAAATGCCTCTGCTCTTGATCTGGCCTCCTCTTTCTGGGCTACAGTTGCATAGTTGTTGGTTGCCCTCTGGTCCCCTGCCCAAGTGACCATTATTAATATGTGAGCCTTAGCAGTGAGTGTCGAAGGCAACTCAACAAAAGAGGGCATCACAACTGAGCTTGACCTTTTCCCACCTGGCTGCAACTTCTGTGCACAACCAGTAGAGGGTGCTGTGGAGGGACCAGGTGAATAAATAATGATAATAATCATTGCATTTGATATAGTATCTTATCACATCTTCGAGATGTCTCAAAGCGCTTCACAGAATGTACTGTAAAGTGAACTGAGTGTATATTTTGTGGGCAAAACCAAACTGATTTTAACCAACCTATCCCAAGGAAGGCTGGGGTCAATTTAACCTCTCCTCGGCAGAAACTAACAAACTTTAGCTCAGGGTTTGAACCATCATGCCCCTGCTCTGTAAACTGTAGTTCTATCCACTACATCATTATGCTGTCCCAAGTGCTACACTATTAAGACTTCTTCTCAACCATCATTTATTGTTAGGTTTTACTGGAGTGAGTGTTGGTTCACTGACTTTGGTGGGCAAGTGTGTCTGGCTCTCCAGTGGTCAATAAATTTACCAACGATCAGACCATGAAATCTCCCTTGCCTGTGGGACTTCACATGTTGATAGTCTTCATGAATGAACATCAAGATTTCTTATTTCACTCCTTTCTTCCTGACTATTTAATGGAATTCAAACATCGGCGATATTCCTCGCTGTAAAGATACACAAAGGTAAATGTTTTGAGCTTGCCTTGTTTAGGTTTTCTTCAAATACATTTAGGAGGAAGTTGTTAGTGTCTTGGTCAACCTCCAGTGCTCACCCAAGAAGTTGTGGGCCTATTCCACGTGTTCAAATAACATATTGCGTTTTTCGACCCCACTATGTATAAGAGGGAAGAAGGGAAGGTAAGAGGTAAGTAACCAGATACCCATGATTTTTGGGAAGCAAATCACAGACTCAAGTATTTCCCCATGTGGAATCCAGTGAAATCGTGCTGGATGTGAAGGTGAGTCCGGGAGCATCCTGGGTGTTTATTTTCCACCTTGGGATTGACTGTGGAGCCAAGTATTCTATTCAGCTGTTCCAGGAAACAGAGGCTGGCATGCTGTAAACCTCAGTGTCCATGTACCGTACTGACTAAAAATACAAGATGGATGAGAACTAAAAGTATTTTGGTCCTTTTCGTATCAGCTGTATAATAAATCAAAACTATTCTTTGCTTGCAGTATAAGGGCTATTCACGAGAGTAAGAACATCACAGCTCAGTCATAAATCAACCTGAGTTGTGATGGATCCGATGAGCGATTTAGATACAGGCCCCATAAGATCCTATTCAATAAGACCTCGCCTAACTTACACTGTGCCTCTGACCAGGTGAGAAATGAGAGTCTTTTTCATAGAGATTCTCTCTGCTCATGGTCAATCTCCCTATTCATGGTCATTCTCTCTGTTGTCCTATGAGCAGAAACGTGCAGGGGAAGCAATCAAACCGTTTAAAGCTGATGCTTAGAATCTGCTGGCCATCTATTTTTGCACAGTGTGGTTCAGTTTCAGAGCCTGCACCAAGATGGTAAGCCTTGTAGCTTCTGGCTGTTTGGATTGTGCATTTGTTCTTCAGTTATTTATATGGTGAGGAGCAGTGCAAAAGATAGCAAGGGCAGACTGCAATTGTCCTGCTAAATTTAAAGCTGTAGCCCATCATTTGGGCATATAAATTGCAGCATCTAAAAGCCACATTTCCTTCTGGTTTGACTTCACTAAGTCCAAGGAGCCCCACCCAAAGGAGGTACTCAAATAGTGGTGTAAAGCTCTGCATGCTGCACTCTTAACAGCTAAAATCTCCAACATCTGTTACCACAGTATTTACTGATCACTGTATGTCTTAGACCTAAATCTACCAATGTTCCTGCTCTTGATCTCTATCAAGAGCAATAAAGTGCATTGTGTGAATGCCTGGTGAGGATAAGCTGGGCTGAGATGTCCCTGATCCCCTGTCCATTGTCTAAAGAACCTCACCATGTTGTTGAGACATCTCAAATTGTTTTACAAGATTTTACTGTGAATGTAAGTGACCGAGTATTTAGAGACAAACACAGCAACCAATTTGTGCACAACAATGTCCCACAAAC